TTACTTCGTTACTAGTTAGTTTTAGTTTTTAGTTTTATATTATATATATATATATATATATATATATATATATATATATAGCCCAAGCCCACTACCTCATAATGAAAATATGTGTTCATATGAGCTCAATGGCTTAGAATGAATCTGGGCCGATTTGACGGTCACGACTTCATTTCGTATTTTAATTTTAATTTTTTTTCTATGAATTCAAATAATTTGAAATTTTAGACGTGTATTTTTCAAAAATATTAAAATTAAAGTACGAAATAAGGTCGTGACCATCAGATCGGTTCAGATTTAATCTGGGTTTTTAGGCTCATATGTTCATATGAACTAGTGGGTTAAACTCAGCATTTTCTTATAACAAATTCTTTGCTGCAATTTATTATATTTTTTGATCTTCTGATTCTGTGAATATTCATTTTATGCTTATTTTAGATGTAAGTTTTTCATTTATGCCACTCAATTTATGGGTGGAGCTAGTACCCCGAGCTATATATTTTTTTATTGGGGCTCGATGATTGAATGCTTTTGTGTCAACATTTATTATTTTGAGGCAATTGAAACATGCTGACATACAAGCTCTGTTTTATGTGAGCTCCCACTCCAGTTGCCAATTGAAATATTTGAAGCTCACTCTTTTTGTTTATGCCAGAGTTTTTACAAGTTTGTTTATAGGGTTCTCAATTAGGGTTCTCACTTCTGGGAAATCTTGAAAGCTTTTGCTTTGATATTTTATATGTTTATTATCCTTATGATTTAGGGTTAATTTATAAGTATTTTAGGCATCAAAGATAAATGCTAGCTGTTAAGATGAGTTCTTTAGGCATTTTTTATGGTATCATCATTTTGTATGTCATCAGAGATTAGTTCTTAGGCTTTTAAGATATGCATGGTCATTATTTTTTTATTCATGTCTTTAACTTTGAGAAATTTATCAAACTGTCTTCGAGATAAATGGTTTAGTATTGATTGTTTCAAAATAACTTCCTCTAATCAACTATTTGAATGTTATGACTAGAAAAATAAAAATTTGAGTCTCTGGGTTTAAGACAATCAGTTTCCAACTTTCCCAACACTGAACAGGTAAAATGTCAACGTCACAATTTCTCAAATAAGATTCTTAGCTTTCATGCTACCACTTTTCACTTTCAAACTAGATTTCAGCGTCACCATTTATCAAATAGGATTCTTAGCTTTCATGCTACCACTTTTCACTTTCAAACTAGATTTCAAGAAAGTATGCTGCTGGGATTTTCCCAAAGAAATTGTAGAGAAAGTTTTCACCATCAAGGAGTCTGCATTTCTAGGGAGCTCAAAGAGAGGAAGATGAGAGAGAGAGAGGGAGAGCAGTTGGTGGAGAGACAGAGCAGTTGATGGAAAGAGAGAGAGAGAGCAGTTGATGAAAAGAGAGAGAGAGAGAGCCCGTGCTTGGAAAGATACGACGTGTGAAAGAAAACGAGCAAAAGATGGGAGAAAAATGGCAGGAGAGTGCGGGTTGAATTGCGGTATTGAAGCACTAATTTATCCCCTTGGGTTTAAAAAAATAGAACCACATGGATATTAAGAGACTATTTGAGTGTGATCTAATGTTTAATGTGTTAAACATCGGACTGCTCACTCTTCTGAGACTTACTCATAACAAAGGACAGTCCGATGTTTTGAACATCATATCAGTGAAAAAGCAAAAATTTCCTCCAAGCAAATAGCAATATGATCTTTGAAATATTTGACCTAAGAAAGAGCAAATTATGCTAAGTATAGAGTGGCCAGAAGTTTTATACATCATACCACACACTATACACAGTAGTGGAATAGAAGTGTTGGGTTTCGAACATCGAACTACCCTACAAATGAGGTTGTTCCATTTTTTTTTGTTTTTTTTATGTTGGACTACCCTATGAAAGTGAAAAATATAAAAAATAAATTAACAAGTTGTGTGCAAAATTGCTCCTATTCATGATCATACTACATGCAGAGAAGAACAGAGCAGAGGAGGGAGAGAAATCAAGTAAAGTAGCAAACTGAAGAGTCTTTCATTACATTGCTTTCTTGCTTCTACACAACACAAGGAGGAAAATCAAAATAATCAAACTACTTCATGCAATGCAAGGAGGAATTCTATTCAAAATGGTTTGTGGTGCTGCTGCTGCTGCCATGGTGCTGCTGCAATTCCATACTACATACACAGAAGACAGACGGGGAGAGGGTTGTTGCTTCTTCATACAAGGCAAATGGGTTATAGAAAAGAATGGCCATATTTCGTACTACTGACACAGGAGGGTGGTCTCTATGAATTGAAGGATATGAATTTCAGAATCAAAAGATCTCCTTATTCATACCAAACAAAGAGTCACAGTCAAACTGTCTTGCACAGAGTAGAAACAGTTAGGATCAAAATGGGGTATCAAACTAGGGCTCTTGAGGCTCAGGGTTGGCACCTTCCACGTCTGGTTGGTCATTTCGCCCTGCCCATGTTGCTTCCTCCAATTGATGCGTGAGGACCTCCAGCTCGCTGGTTAAGCAGTTCGACTCCAATTGCAAGTTCTTGAGCAAATCAGAGAGCTCAACATCTCTCCTTCCTTCCTGAACCATATCCACCAATCTGACCAAACACTGACACTGAGCTTCTGAGTGCTCGAAAATCCTCTCTAACTCAGGAATCATCGCCCCTCCTTGACTCGTCTCTCCCTCTCTCATCTTCTGAGCCCCACTTTCTCTCTCTTGATTCTTGGCCTCCTCTTGCTCTTTATGTGCGCTTATTTCATCAATTTCTTGATTCTTGGCCTGATCTTGCTCTTTCTGAGCCCATGTTTCATGAATTTCTTGATTCTTGGCCTGATCTTGCTCTTCTTGAAAGGGAAAGACAGGGAAAAACTCGAAACAATCCTCATGAAAATTCGACCCACTGATCCTCCTCCTCCTCGTCGACGTTCCGCTTCTTGACTCCTCTCTCCCTCTCTCATCTCCTTATCCCCACTTTCTCTCTCTTGATTCTTGTCCCCTACTGCGATTGTTTGGTTCTTGGCATCCCCTCTTCTTCAGCTTCAATTTCTTGATTCTTAACCTCCACTTACTCTTTTTATGCCCTTATTTATTCTTGGACTGATCATGCTCTTTTTGCCCTCCTGTTTGATTCTCATACCGTGCTGCGATTGTATCCTATGAGACTACTTATGTTTTGTACAATGAAATCACAAATCACTTTTACTCATTAGATGAAAAATCCAATAAATGAAAGTGGAACAACATTCAAGAAAATTTTTTGAATCTTCCCAAACAATGACGTATCCTCAACCACCAAATTTCAAATCCAACGGTCATGATAATTGTGACCTCTTTCTATCAAAAAAGTAAATAGTCCCATTGTATATATTTCCTATATATCTGAACACTACATTTTTCAAACAATAACCGTACACTAAACTATACATATCTTGGTCGAATGTTTGTCTCAATATTTGATTCTTTATTCTTTGTATATATCAGATTCATGTGAAATTTGGAGCATCCTTATCTTTATAATATAACATACCTGATAAAAATATTATAAAAAGTTGTTTCTAATAATTTAGAAAAGCCAAATACCCCTAAACTTTCATGGTAATTTGGTTATTTTAAACCATATAATTTTTAAATGCATTTACTGGTGCGCCCTATTTCAGAGTGTAGACGCCCCGAGTTTCAGCTTTAAAAATAAACGCTGGATACATTCTCAATCTTCAGATGGCTTAGAAATGAATAGGACCACAGTTTAGGAAAAAACACATGCACATCCACACTTGATAAGAAGTACAAGCGGGCATCTACCTATGTGCAAGTGTATGTCTGCACTTCCAAGAAATGCCATGTTTTCTACTGTCTATTTTCCCTATTTGTTTGGCAGCATCTAGAAATTTGCTTTTTTATTTTTTATGAGTTATAATAATTGATAACTAGGTGTGATTTGATAAACTATGAAATGTTTAATAGCCAATATTTTAGGTGCGGTTCACAAATTCTCTCTTTTTTTCCCTTTCTTTTTGCTGCAGCATTTAGAAAAACTTCGACTTGTTATCAGTAAGTACATGGGATATGGGGCCACTAGAGCCCTGTTATTTACAAGCATTTGATCCACTTTTAATGCATAAATTGTAGACAGCAGACGGCCACTATTTCTTTCCCTTCCGAGCAAGAAATCTCTCTTTAGCAGCCTGGATTTTCTTTTCGTGGTCATCAGAAACCTTTGATGCAATGCCATTGTCATTTTTGGTTGAGGCTTGCACCTTCAATGGGTCTGTGCCCTGAGGACTCTGTTGCTCAGAAACATTGCGTCCCCCACTGCAAAATTGGGAAAAAAAATGAAATTATTCAAAAAGAATAATAAACATTTGGAAGGAAATGATACCAAAGATTGACAAGAAATGAACTCTGATACTGTGAAAAGGCCATTGTCTGATTCGTGGGTGAGAATCATGGTATTAGGGCAAATGCTCATCCCAAATAAAGAAGCGTAAAACATATGCATATGCCAGTTCAGGTTCCCTGCATGTTGATTTCTTAAATTGAATGCATAACAGGTATGTACAAGGGAGAATGGAATACACTACTTAGGGTAGACACATTCAAAAGAAGCAGATGTCTGGCTTCACTTGAGAAACGGGTATATGAATGTCATGTCTACAAAAAGGGGTACCAGGATCATTTTCGAGAAGAATTGGAAGATGAATGTACACCAGGCATGCCTGCGAGCGAGGTGAGAATTAATATACAACGCAGTGTAGACATTCAAAAGAAGCAACGTGTTTCATTTGAAATAATGGGTATAAATGTCACATCTGCTGTCATCATTTTTTAAAAGAACCCTAAGATGAGAAAACCAGTTTTGTTACCTGAGCTTCTTGACATCCAAGTTTCCTAACTTGCCAAAGATGGGAGTTACCCATGGCATTTCAACTGCACATACATTCCTAAGTACCAGACGAGGAGTTGCCAAAAGTTCATTATAAACCACATAATCCGGTAACAATCCACTATCCCCTGATTTCAGAACACATGATGGATGGACCTAAAATAAAAAAAATTGTAAATCAGTTTAGGAACAATTGAAAGCTAGCTGTCCCAAAAAAAAAAAAAAAAGAATAAATAGAATCGAAATAGAAATTCTATGTGCATCACAGCAAAATAGAGAAATCCATCAATCAATTGGACATCGAATCACCTTATTTAAAGAACCAAGTATAAGTAATGGCATTCGGCAGAGTTTGCAACATAGAAAGGACTTCTATATGTGGTTGTATTTCATAATTTCCTGACCTTTCCAAAATTAGTAACTAATGTGAAATGTCCTAGAATTTCTGAAACTATTCGTATTGCACTTGCACGATCCACAGTTAAAAGACTAAACATCTGGCTATGTATAAAACAGAGAAGGTGTAGCAGTGAAGTAAGTGTTGGATTTGTACAAAAATCTTATGTTAGCAAAAATACGTCCTTAGGAGAACGGTCTCAAAATGCAAAGGCCTGATCATGTGGTTCCTTTGCAAATGAATCCACGCATGCCTTCCTCTCTCCAAGAGTTCCTAAAGGTAACTCCCAAGGAAAGTCAAATGTGAGCTACCTTATTGAAAGTATGCTCCAATCTACAAGGGAGAAGCGATGAGTCGTAGGACCAGTTTATGACATTTTCGAGTCCCCTCAGATAAGAATTGTTGCTGCCCAATATCTTGCCAACACTTTTGAGGCCAAATAGTTAAGCTTGGGCTTCTTATGAATGGTGCAACCTCTACTCCAATAGTCCCCGAACATAATATAGTTTCCTCCAAGTGATTTCTGTAAAATGCCTCCAATGCCTGCCACTCCCAGGCCACCAAGAGAACTACTATCAAAATTGAGTTTGTTAGTTCTTATCACTGGTGGAATCCAATGTGAGGATTGTGAAATTATGTAAGGGGTTAACTAAATGAGTTCCTTCCAATGTTGGACGAGGTCTGTCAAAGAGTAGGAGGTGAATACTTTGCGGTTTTGCCCCCAAAAGGTAGTTGAAGCTTTGATAAGTCCCCTACGAGAGCCAATGTGTCTTTCACTCTTTCTTTGCTCTCAAAGATACATCTCTTTATTCCAAACCGGATTCCCCAAAAAGAGGCCACATAGCATTAGGAAAGCACTTGGGATAGGTGATAACTGGTTGGTTGATGAAGGTGTGCACCAGGGACAATCACATAGAAAAGGAAGAAGGATCAGATATGAGATGTTGATTTACAATGGATAAACAGGTGATCAATGGTCTCTTCTCATCACTGCATTTGGGGCATCAGTTTTGTATATGGATACCTCATCTCTGAATATCGTCCATGGTTAGTGCTTTGTTGGATAAAACACCAACCAATTAAGGTCTACACCTTAGGTGGAGAGGAGGTGAACCAGGCTTTGGAGGCTATAGTTTGTTTGGGGCAGTGATTGAGAGCGTCGTAAAATGAGGACACCAAAAAGCTACTTGTGGGGTGGGGGATGCCGCCCATATCATTTTGCATCTGCCGGAGCGGTTATGAAGAGGTGTAAGACTTTGTATCCCACTCAAAATGTTTTTGTATCTTGGGCCGTGGGCAACCAGACTTTTTGGTCACCCAGCAATTCGTAGTAGTCTGCGATGTGGTATCCTAGTCTAAGACGAAGAGAAACAGAATAGGGAAAGAATGCTTGAGGGGATGTGTTCCTATCCATGTATTCTTCTGAAATCTCATTCAGTTCCCGACATCCCACTTTTAACTATGACTCTGATTCTACTTGAAAGTCTAGGAAGGTGGACATGGTACTAGTGTACGAAAATTCGAACCGGCCAAGAGCCAATAATGAGTAACTGGTAAACCAGCCGGTTCAATCGGCCTAACCAAGCAAGTCCCAGCTTGTCAAAAAAATGGTTAAAAAAATAAAAAAATACAAAACAAATCCCAAAAAATATGAAAAGTGTATTTAAATCATAATTAAATAAAGAACATCTAAATGAAATTGAAAATTAGTGGACAAAATGGATTTTAAAAAATCGATTTGTGCCCAGGGGTATTTTTGAAATTTTTCAAAAAAGATGGTTTATTATTGGCCAAAACAGTTTCCAATTTTTTTCAAAATGATGAAAAACATTAAAAAATACATTACAGACAAATCCCTTATTTTTTGGGATTTTACATCAAATTTTTTTTTTTCAAATATCCAGCCGGATCACCAAAACCGGCCAAAATCGGAACTGGCCAGTGATCGTTTCAGATCTAATACGGCGGTTCCGATTTTAACCACCCAATTTTGTAAACAATACGTGGTATCCATCCAAGCTCCTGAAGCCATAGTGTTGGCAACAAGTTTTGCAGCCACCGCATTAGCAATAATGTTTTATCACCTGCCGGGGTTGTTGCCATATGGCCCGCACCATTTACCTAAGAGGGTTGTGTTGCAGTCTCCCAACTTCTTGATGCCATGTCACCAATGGATCTTGGGCATGCAGACGTTCTCATATAATAAGATGATATTCCTGACCAATGTGAGCCCCACCCTGTTAGATGTACCCCATATCCCTTTCAAGCTTTTTTCCAATGAGGGTTGGGCATGGCATTCCAAAAACCAACATAGGAAAACAGATGTTGGATAGGGTAACCTTATGGGCACCGAAGGATAGCAATCAGCACTTTCAATCAACTAACATGTTCTTTTAGGTTTGCCTGGGTAGAATTGGAATTTACTGGTTAGTACGTTTGAGCCACAACGCAAACAACTAGCATAGGTCTGGACAGTGGGAAGAGGCAGGCTATTTTCATGAGCTTGGTTTTTGCTATGTTGAATCTTAAATGAGTGCAGAGAAACACAAAATGGAGAAGCAAAGATTATCGACTTGGTAATGTTTGGTGCGATAGAAGACAAGGGTTTTGTTTGCATGCTGAAGGTGGGATATGAATGGCCCGCTGTAGGAACCTAAAATTCTGTTGTTTTCTTATTTGACTCAAAGGAATCTTCTCCGGGATTCCAGGGGGACCTCTTCCACAACCTAGACGCTTACCCAGGAACTGCACAACCATCATAGCAGTAAAGTACTCTCCACAAATACCTCCCAATTTTCTAGAATTTTCACCTAGGAAATCAACGCCTTTTTCTTTCCCAGACCCATTCCATGTAGCAGGGAATTGGAGATACTTTCCATTGGACCTGATTTTTCATCAATCAGAGCTACCATTGGAAAGTTACAACCTAGACCCTAAGCACCACGGGCAATGAGACCTCTCGTATAGGACTGGCAGCGGGGGACAAGATGGATCGCATCACGCCTAAATATGGCCACATGAAGCCACCATGTTCCCACATGTGGCTTCACAAGCCAAACATGTGGCCAACAATGCAGCTTCAACCTTTATAGTCACATTTGACCTATAAATACCCCAATTTTTTCAGGCAGTCTTGAGGGGCAGATTCAGGCAGCTGTTCATGGGCAGTTTTTTAGACAATTTTCCATCACCATTTCCATGAATACTCCAAGATTCTCATAAATTTTTGTTCACAAGATATCCCGGACGACATAACTTTTGACCACATAGTTTTTTACTTTTGTTCAACCTAGGTCGAGTAGATCTGACTGTATAAAGTCAAACATGATCAGATGACCCTTACTAGCCCAGATCTAATATTCTTTGACATCAAAATCCTAAATCTACCAATCCTCAAACCAGATCTTTTGAGTTTAACCCTAAATCTGTTCCATCCAAGCCAAGATCTGTCCACGCCATTCAATTTTGCCTTTTTAAGAGATCAAAGATCCATCTGATTCATCAATAAATCGCTACTTTTGTGAGTGGGGTTGACAAAGCTGCTTGGTCAAGTGTCAGAAGCACTAAAGAGAGGAATATAAGTAAGGAAATGTCTTAAAACGAATCAGAGAACCAAATGAAATCGATTGTGATGAGACCTCTTCTGTTTCTCAAAGGACCATCCAGTGTCGTTGAAGTCGCCACCAATGCATGGGTAGGGCTGAGACATTTGGAGTGGTCAAGCTCTACACAACAGCTTTCTCTGAGCTCTGATCTATTTGGACCATAGCTGACTGTGAACCTCGACTGAAATTCGTCAGAGGTTTGGAAGAGGACATGGGATACCAAAAATTGATCAATGACGAAGGATTTTGCCTAGGGAGGTGGAACCGCAAACGACCTAGATTCTTCTAGGAGCCAATGGAAGGTAGAGGCTCTTAAGCACAAGGTCTCCAACCCCAGATTGACCTAATTTGTTAGAGGTTAGGGACTCTAGCTTGGTTTAAAAAATGGTTGGGATGTTGACAAAGTATTCTAGGGTCTAGTTTTAGACTCTTTATATTTTTTAATTTTTTTTGAGGTTGCCTAACCCCTTGCAACCCAGGAAAGGAATTTAATTTTGGATAGGATAGTGGGCTTGTTGGCACCTAGAGGGTTTTTTTTAGGGCGAATTGTTCGGGTTTGTGGCCTTTCAAGGCCATGAGAGCTTGTAAACATCATTCATTAAGGATTATACACTTCAACAGGAGAGTGTATTGACTAAGGGCTAGGCGGTCAATGGTCCTGGTCATATCCAAAGCCCTTATCCCTAGGCATGTGGCACTATCGAAAAGGGTTTATAGAGAGTCATCCCTTGTTGAAGTCGGAGAGATGCCCAAGGATAATTGGTAGGATAGGATAGCTATGTGGACTCCTGTGTAGATGTAGGCTTGTGATGGCAAGAACTAATGCTTAATAAACTTCCGCATGTACATATGACAATTGCACTATCGGAAAGCAACCCTATAGAGAAATACGTGTACATGTGCATAGAGAGATTCTCCCTTACACTATAGTGATATGTGCTTTGCTTGCTCTTAGGGGAGTGGGGAACTATAACCCACATTCTAGGACGACGTGTTGGGTTTTGTGGCCTTTAAAAGCCTAGAGAGCTTGTAAAAATGATGCATAGTAGAATATGGATTTCAGTGGAATGTGTGTGTTGACTAAACAAGGGTTCGGCAGTTTATGGCCCTAGTCATGTCCAAAATTCTTAATCCTGGGTATGTCGCATAACCAA